TTTTTTTCTTTTCTCCCCTTAAATATTCTAAACTTTTAAAAATACATTTACTTGGTTATAAAAGAAAAAAGTACAAAATAATTTAAACAATTTTGGATTGGAAACTCAAATCATAGAAAAGAACTCAATTGTCAAATTACCTTGAAGAAAACTATGGAAAATTGCCCTCCTTTACTATTAAGATCCATGAGATAGCGTTCCACCAGGTAGACAAAATGGAGATTCTGTCCTGGCTGTAATGATTTCTCACATACACATGTGATAAGTAATGAATCTCCATCAATCAGAAAAAATTCAGATTCAACAAAATCATTGAATAAACTGGAATAGCTAAAATGAAAAAAACACAGAATTAAAACAGAAATCACATATAAATTAAATAATGACTCAAAACTGGGTGGCATTATTATTGAATATTCATAACTGAATTAGCTGAATATATGTAGCTATATAGCTGTCTATTGATGTATTATAATGCATCTACATTACATACATATGTAACTATGTATATATTGAGATACATATASATAGATAGGTCAGAATAAGCTGAATACGGCTGGGGTTGTGGCTCAGAGGTAGAATGCTCACCTAGCATACATGAGGCACTGGGTTCAATCCTCAGCACCACATAAATGTAAAATAAAGATATTGTGTCCACTTAAAAAAACTAAAAATTAAATATTTTTTTAAAAGAATAAGGCCAAATAGATGTATAAGAAACAGGGAATATATGATTTCACAGCTCTATATAATTACAAAAATACTCACTCAGCTTCTGGCATTTGTCGCAAAATGAACTGTGATATTATCTCTGAAAACACAGTGTCATCTATAAAGACAAAGACAGTGGATTATTTTTAGTCCAACCTTTATAAGTCGGTTTTTGAGAAATTAGAAACTGTGATACAGTTACTTTAATTCCACTAAATCTGCATAGCATATATTTTATAATTCTATAAATATTTTAAATGAAAAATTACCCATTCTGATTGCTGCCATGTATCCAATCTGAACTGGCAAATATTAAATATATACCAAATGCCTTTCCTCTTGTTCCTTTAAAAGGTAATTATTAATGAAAATGGCGGACCTGCAAAAGAAAGAAGAAAAACAAGAACATTTTTATTCTATCAACAAATAGGTTCTGAATGACTATTATGTGTCAGGCAAAATACTAGTCGATGGAAATACCAGAATGAACCAAGTCAACGTGCAGTTAGTTCTCCAGGAGCTTAAAAACTATCAGGAATGATAGTTATTAATCACATAATCTTATAAACGATGGAAAAAAATCTCAAAAGTAACAAAGAGGTCTGAGCAAGCTTCCCTAAAGAAGTAATGCTGAAGATGGTTCCCAAAGGATTAAACAAGAACTCACTGAACAAAGAAGGAGAACGTAGCATTCCAAGCAGAGGGAGCACTAAAACACCACGTATAAAAACTCTGTAGTATGAAGGTACACAGATGGAGCTGCTCTTGGAGTTGCCAATGGAAATGGAGTGGGGAAGGTGAAGAAGGGCCCGCTGGGCTAGACAGATCTGGACATATAGAAGGACATGCAGGACCTTTGAGGGCATATACAGGATTTTCTCTCCATCCTAGAATACAAGTTTAGCCACTGATATATTTTAAGCAGGTGGCATTATAATGACTGCATATTGCAAAGATGACTTTGGTAACAGTACAGGGAAGAGATAAGAAGAGTGTAACATTCTTGTTAGTAGAGAAGAGAGAAAGCTACTCTTCAGGACAATAATGATGATAGTTTCACGTAGTCATAGTTTGATGGGGGTTTGTGTTAGTAAAGCTGGAAAGATGTGGATTTYTTCGAAGGTAATTTAGAAGGTGAGTTTGACATAATTTGGTAATGGATGAAGAAGAGAGGAAAAGGGGACCATCAAGGATGAATCAGGATTCTAGCTCATGCAATGAAATGGATGATAGGTCATTTCCTCATCTGGAAACCCCGCAATGAAACCTTGTAACCTTAAAACAACAATTACGAGTTAATTTGTGGACAACCTGATATTGCAGACTTTCAAGACTTACCAGAGGCCATGTCATGTAAGTAATTAAATACATAGGTCTAGAAGTCAAATTTCAAGGTCTGAGCTAGATCTGAATAATTGAGTCATGAATGGTAAGGGAGCCACTGGCATAGATTAGTTTGCTTGAACAGCAGGAGATATCCTCATGGAAMAAGAGAAGGAAGCAAAAATCCAATTTTGAGGATTACTAATATTTAATAATCAGCAGAAGAGAGGTGGAAGAGTCTAAAAAGATAACAGAAAGAACTACGAAAGAGGCAGAAGAAAATGCACTTACCCATCTTGTCATGGAAACAAAATAAGCATATGCCACACAGTGTGTTAAGGCTGTTAASATTAAATACAGAGAGATGATTGACAGATGAATGCATAGATGTAGACTTCTTTTTCACAACATGAATGAAGAAGAACATACAGTGGTGATGCACTCTGATAAACTAAAATAATATTAAAAAAATCAAAAAGAAAGAAGGTATAGGACTTTAAAATTGAGACAGTTTGAAGAAAAAAGAAAATACTGTGTGCTGGGACATTGAGGAAACACTTAATGGAAACAGGAATATAAACACGGTCGCCTGCTCACCAAGTTACCATCTTTTTCAGTGAGTGATAGATTATCTACTCTTTGCCAGGCATTGTACTCACTGCAACACAGCCAAGTGGGTATGGAGAGTGGTCCTCACACCCTAGTGGGGGTTAAGGAGAATGAAATCAAACAATACAGTATGATGGACAGATGAAGAATTTTATGGAAGCAAAGATGTTGCAGGYAGCAAATCATCACCGGTCTAATACACAGAAATGTGGAGCTGCATGACAAGATTGAGACTCTGCAGGTCACTCTACAAGGCAAAGCACCAACTGGAGGTGAGGTTGGAAAGGCAAGCACAGATCAGACTATTAAGGGTCCTGTGCCCAGGCAAGGACTTCRGACATTTTCCTGAAAACTTGCTAACTCCACATAGCTGTGCTGTCTTCCTTCAATTCTCCAAGTCTTACACAGCTCAAAAGGAAAAGGACAAGTCAGTCAGACCTGAACAAGCAAAAGAAAATTAACTCTGAGGATGTCACAGAAGAAAAGAGAGCATCAGAAGGGATAGTGTCTGATTCTGCAAGATGTAATAAGTTAATTTATAAGTTTCCAGACATTCTCAGCATCCTTAGTGGCTCCAGAACTTTTTTTTTTTTTTAATGGAACTGCTAGGACAAAATAATGACCTAATTGTTTTATATATTAAATAGTTCACCCCAAACAAATTGAGTATTTTTGTCCTGACAATTCAGAAAATATTTGAAGAAATAACCCACATAAATTGAAAAGACCAGCACAGTTTTCTATAAAAATAATCATAATTTCTAATGAGATGTGGGTATCTTCTGGACACAGCTCTATTTTTTTTTTAACAGTAACCATGGTGGCAGAATAAAACTCTCTTTACTTTGACAATTAAGGGATTCCAAGGGATTCCACAGCCAGCCTGCCTACACTCCTCTCACATACCCTATCAAAACGCTTCTGTAAAATGTGAGTATGTAACAGATGTGATTCTGCAATCTGTATTTGGGGTAGAAATGGGAGTTCAAAACCCAGTTGAGTCAAATGTATGAAAGATGATATATCATGAGCTCTGTAATGTTTTAAACAATCAATTAAAAAAAAACTGTATACTAAACACATACATGCCTTAACATTTGTATAGAATTCATGGTTCTTATCCACACTTCTCCCTCATTTCAGGAAGAGGCATACTATAGAAAAATAGCTGAATGAACACACACACAAACACACACACACACACACACACACACACACACAYATTAGAATCCCCAAACACCAGAGGCAAAAAGAAAATAAGAAATCAGATGACTAATGTGATTAAGAAACAGAATAGAGCTTTGAAAATTTCTAAGTAGTATTGTCAAAGAATCAAAAAGATATTATCAAATAAAATATTATCACAAAGAGAAACAGAGCAAGTGCTCATAAAAATTAAAAACATAATTTCAAAAAAATTAATGTTCAGAACAATAAAATGAACCTGCTGGAATCTCAAGTTAGTGATCTGCGGATTAAAGTCCAAGAAGTTTCTTAGAGGAGAGAAACAAAAGACAAGGAGATATAAAAATAATTGAAAAAATACTAAGGAATACAGATGATAGATGAAAAAGTTCTAAGGGCATAGAATGGTAATTCCAGAAAAAAAGACAAAGGGAAAAAAAAAGGATTCTAAAACAGGTGGACAGAAAAATTAATCAATATTTGCAAAGCAATATAATATTATTAGACTGTAATGAAATTAAAAAAAAAGGCATTTAGGTTGAAAAGTTCCTCCAAGTGTTGAGCAGAAATAATGATAAAAAAGAAAACTACACTTTAGATTTACAGAGCTCTAAAARTAGAGAAACAGAGAGCTGAGAAGAAATGGATTCTAAAACATAGGTGAAGTGAATAAACTCATGAATCCTGTTGACAGATGACCTGAGTTTTAATCGTATTTCTCAAGCACACTCTATAGTTCTATTATKTAGACTAGTTATTTATTTTCTTTGCATTTAATCATCTGTAAAATGACAATAATATTATTTCCCTCTGATTGTTTTCAAGTTATTTAAATGTATGAACTAATGTATACAAATGACTTACCATAAGTGCCTGACACACAGTTAGAACAAATTAAAATAGGCAATATGCTGGATATTTTGATAAAAGAAAACAATGTTTTCAAATTTMTAATGGGGGAATAATTTGAAGCTAGAATTCTTCATCCAAATCGTGATTCAATTCATTGAAAAGGAAAAATGACATTAACTAGACTTTAAGTCAGAAGTTTCACCAACCATATATCTTAATGATAATTTTATGTAAAGGAAGTACAGAAAATGGGGAGGGACATGAGGATAATCAAGAAAAAGTAAAACAGAAATTAATTAAGCTATAAAGCAAAGGGAGTCCACAATACTTTGAATTCAGTCTATTTCAATTGTCATGGTCTATTTCAAATAGTAGTCTCAATAATCGAGAACTGCATTTCCTAGCCAGATATATAGACTGTTTTGACAGTGAATAATGTGTTCATAAACATAATTTTGTAACTGTATCTTTATTGGTTTTCCACTTCTGACTCAACATAGAAACAAATTGCAAGAATTGGATTCACAGTACAAAGTCTGGAAAACATAATAAACCTTTATGATACAATAATAATAATAATAATAATAATAATAAAATGAATCAGAGGTCTAGGAAAAAGAAGAATAGAAGAATGCATGCTAAGTTCCTCATCTTTCACAACAGGAAGTCCAGAGATAGAAATAGAAATTAAGGCTAATATGTGAAAAAAAAAATGACTTCTAGAATCAAGAAGTTCTGCCTTTCTAATAAATACTGTACCATTGGATTACTAAGCAGTAGCACAGGGAGAGGTAATCCAGCTAATAAACAGAAGAGGAACTGTAGAATCTCACCATTTTACAGCTTCTAGTGCAGTAACAGGTCTTAGTATTTTTAGGTGAAAGTAGGACAAAAATAAAAGTATCTTCAACATATCTGAAAAACTCTGGCCCAATACCCCCACCCCAATCAAACCTGAATCTGATCAAGTCTATAGCAGTGACCACGAATTTACAAGACATTTAGAGGACAGAGAACCATGTTAAGTGGCATCAAAAGGACTGGGGAAATCTCTACAGGACACACATCTAAACAAATAAATTATAAGGAAAGAAACGTTAAAAGTATATCATCTAATTACAGTATTGTCAGAATCGTATTCGCATTCTGATTCAAAAAAATCTTACAAAGGAAGCGGAAAAGAGGAAGAAATGGGAGTGGAAGGCAAGAGAATGGAAGAAGAAGGGAAGAGTAGGAAACCGTGGGTCATGTATTAGAGCAAAATGGTGAAGTGCCTGATGGAAACCCCGCCCTGGCAGCAGATCCAAGGTGGCTGGCAGAACGTGTAGATGGTCTTCAGGGGTCCACCGCCTTAGCATACAAACCTTGTATAATCTCCTCCCCTGGAGAGTGGCAGGCCTGT